CCCCAAAACCCCAAAACCCCAAAACCCCAAAACCCCTCTTAATTAATTTTCTCTTGAATTCGAGACACTCTTATTATATTTTCATGAAGAATGGGTACACCTATTTGAAAAACCAGATCTATGCTGCCTTAGAATCTCGGGTGATAAAATACGAAATTTCTAACACCAACTCCTAAAAATAATTCCCTAAATTTCCTTGAAATCCTAACTTTGAGGATGAAAAGACTCTAAAATCTGTTCCGCAAAAAGTTATAAATTCTAAAAATTCGATCTTATGTAAATTAAAATATTTCAGAGAAACCAAAACTAAAATTTGTAGTTAAGTGAAATCTCTCTAGCTAGAACACCATGAGGAAGGGCCCTCAGATCTGTTTAGTTGTAAATTTTATGCTTAATTAATATCTTAGGGCAGTGATCCTTATGCATCTGAGTACTCTTGAGTGGATCCTCTGGTAATGGAAGCAACCTGACCGTCAAGATCTCTGATACGCAAATCTAACTTAGAAGGAGTGAACGAGATGATATTTCCTTTATTAATGACTCCTTTGCTTAGTGGCAGTTTCTTCTTCAGACACTTCTTCTCAGAATTTCTGTGTGGTTTTGGTCCCTTCATATTTCTGGATGTACTCGTCTTAGTAGGAGGTTTAATCCCAGATTTTCTCAAATTTGAGATCTTTCTTGGGGCAATTTTGGTTTTAGGGGTACTTGGAATATCTCAGTAACTTTTATATACGGAATCAGATTTTTCAGCAAATGAGGAAGATAAAGACTTTTGGTTGTTTGATCTTCTTGGACTTTCCTGCCTCATTCGTGCACCTTTTCCAATAGTAAAGAGTTTTTGACTGAACCCATCAGAGTTTCTTCTTCCTGAATTACGACTGGGATCAACCTTTTTATGGGGTACCTTACTATTAGTCTTATCTAGTACCTTTGACAAAACATCAGTTGCGCTCTGTAAGTTTCAGATGTTTAGGCTTGATAATCTTTCTAAACCTCTGATTGTACATTCTAATTTAGTATTAAAACGAGAATCATGGGCTGAAATCTTTGTTGAAGTTGTTGAAATCTTCACTCTGAATAGCTCTTCACCCAGAAGCTCAATAGTGCTGGCCAGTGTCTGAAATATGTTGGAATGCATACCTTGATAATTAAGAGCTTGCTGCTCTAAAGGGTATTGGTAGTCTTCTCCTATCATACTTAATTTTGATCTATTTATTATTAAATTGCTACCTGAGTTAAATGGGGTTTTGGGGTTTTGGGGTTTTGGGGTTTTGGGG